ACAGGTCCAGCAACACTGGATTTTTTCAGCGACTTGCAAAATAGAGGCCAAGAGTCAGGAGCATTGGAGCAGCTTTAGCTTGTCAATGAGTAACTCCCTGGCCAGGGATGCAGACTGGCAGAGGTATTGCAGGTAGCTTGACTTTTTGGAGCAACAGTAACAGCCCCAGAACAAGCTGTCTTGTGTTAACGCATAGCAGGTTACACCTGAGACACGTACTGCACAGCTCCTCTCCCTGAGCGTAACTCAGCCAGGTCGGTACAGGTGGCCCGTGTGCTCCTGGCCCCATTCAGTCTCGGTGCTGAGCGGGGCTGCTGTGCTTGGATCCCCAGTCACGTCATGAGAGAAAAGGCTACAAACCCAGAGATTTTCTTTAAAAGCTCCCCCCGCCCCTTTTTGTAAACCACTGGATGAGTCTGAGCAGCATCGCGTAACGTTCCTCCCTGCAGCGACGCTAGCAGCATCAGTTCTCCGAACCGCTGTGCTCGCCCCTCTCATCCTTCGCTTCGGATAGGCCACTCTCATCGATGTTCTCCAGCGAGGCGGCACGCTGCAGCGCCAGCTCCGACAGCACCAACAGAGGAAGCTTGTTCTGCTCAGGGTTTCATGTTTGCATCGTGCTGCTGCTCCCAGGCAGGGTATTTCATGCAGGCCTTGTGCAGTTTCTTTAACATCTGATCAGGAGCAGGGAAGCACAGGGGGAAACAACCATGGAAGCTTAGAAAAGGTCTTGGTACGTTTCTCATGTAGCCACTACTAACACCTACTCCGTTTCTTTTCTGGCTGCTTAGGAGGAGCTCAGGACCCACTAGAGAGAAAGGCAGAAGGACAATTTAACTCCTTGGGACCATCTTCTGCTTGCCCAGATCCCCTGACAATGCCAGCTGCTTTAGGAGAGTGAAATTAAACTTCCTGTACTGAAATCCTTTGTCCCTGTCCGGCTCTGGCACCAGAGACCCCGCCAGCACTGCTCTGCCACTCCGTTCAGGATCTCCAAAAGCTACTGAGCTTCAAGATCCTGTTCAGACGGGGCGTGAAAAGTGGGGGTCAGGCAGGTTATTGCAGAAGCGGAGACCAGAGTTGCCGTGTTATTCATATCCCTCTGGCTTCAGAAATGAATCAGTCAGCTGTCAAAACTGATAAGGCTGACAGAATGTGACGCCACACCAGAGATGAGCCAAGATGCCCATTCCTAGCGCAGCCCCACTGTGGAGGGAGGCCACCCTCTGCAGCCCTCTGTTCCAACCACTGGGACTGGGCACACGCACCTTGGAAATGCTCCACTCACCTGCGGCGCCAGGTACTGCAAAGCTTTATTTACAACCCACTTTCGCAACGACCCTAATAGATTGAGGGGGGAAAAAACAGACGTTAGTGTGCCAGAAAATGGCTGCGCTCCTACCAACCACCCAGCAGCCCCCATAGCAAGCTGCAGCATTAGCATCACCACCTCCCTTTTTTTTTTGCCACGTTATGTAGGTGCACTCCAGATTATGAGCAGGATTTCCACTGACTGGGGCCAGAATTTGCATCACCCCGCCACCACATCCCGAGGCCTGCAGAACCAGGTTACCTTTTGGATCCACCTGAGTCCGGCAGGTCAGACTGCAGCTGTTGGGCCCAGCTGAATGCATCAGGTATCCCGTCAGGAGAGAGACTGCCCTCACCAGATCCTTGTGTGGAGGGTATTTTGTGCAGACACATCAGACAGTCAGATGCTGTCTTCCATCTTCCCTGCCCTCTCTCAGGTCTGGCATTGAAAATACAGGGCAAAGACTAGGCTAGAGGCACAGAGGAGCTGCCTCAAACAGAGGAACTTATAAAGGAATTACGCAGCTACATGCCAGAGGCTCTGGGATGCCAGTTGTCCTAGGCACAGACAGAATCTTGCTGTCTACAGATAGACTGCTGCACTCCTGCGAGGCTGGCACCAACTGGGTGTAGTTCAGCTTTAAGGGAGCCAGCGCCGAATCCTGTTCAAGAGACCATCCCAGACTCCTACAGCTGGTGACCAACCCTGGGACAGCATTTTGCCCTTAACGGGACCCTCCGGTTCACGGGATCACTGTAACGGGAGAGCCTTCTAGTCCAGCCCACTCTTCACTCACCGGGTATTTGACGGAGAAGTTGATAATGGTGTGATACCCATCCTCGCCCTGCCAGGATCGCGGTATCTTGTTCTTCAAGGGCTTCAGGCACCACCGTAAACAAGAAGGAAAGTAAGTTGTTTCACGGATGTCCAGCCACTCCAGAGGTTTCTGCCTGGGCCGAGTGTCCTCCTCTAGTTCACTTAGTGATCTCACCGTCTCCTCCAAGCAGCACGACCCTATCCCTTACCAGCCCAACTGGTGCCAACTGCCTCTTGTAGCAGAGGTCCCCAGTGGTGTCCTGAACCCCAAACATCTCTCTCCTGCCAGGCAGCCTGGACAGGGTGGCTCCTCTATTTAACACAACCCAAGACTTTCGTGGAAGTGAGCCAGTCTCATCCCCTGTCCCCCTCAGGCCCCTGGCC